CCCCCCCCCCCCCCCCCCCCAAAAAAAAAGCTGTTTTTATTTATCAGTTTATCCTGTATATTGGCATTTGCCATGTCATCCATAAGGTGCATCCATGCAATACCACAGCTTCCAACTCTGACGCCCGTGTTACCAACACCAGATAGATAGCTGGCTAGTATATCATTACTGGGAAAATTGTGGCCCGTGGAAACTTATAGAGCACCACGTACCAAAACTCCACCTTTGGTCATTTGGAGGTAAATCAGGATTTGTTTACATTATGCGAAAATTATTTTGTCTAGAGAATGGCAAATGTGTCATCAACTACTATGCACAGATATGTAATTATATAAAAATAAAATAAAAAATATGAATGCTCACTCCCAAAATTATTGTCAGCTACTAGGAGAAACAGATAAGTCATAAAACTTACACAACATAAACATGTCCACCCCAGCCACTTAAACAATCACGATCAACAGATGATAACAGTGCTTGAGAGATCGTCTCAAACAATTCCTCTGGTTCCTGAGTCATAGTTAACAAACCAAAGGAACATGAATAAGCTTCTTATATTGAAGAAACTGAGTTTTAAAAATCTTTCAACTTTTATGAATACATAAGTATGTTAATGTGTGAGAACTAGGGAACTCAACTGCGAAATTGAGCCTCTATCAGTGGCCTGTTTTATTTAAAACCCAGAATCTGCCACTATCACAGAACATCAGATTCAATACCACAATTTTGTCCCTACATACATTTGGGTATTGTACACCTAATGTTTTCTGTAATTGTTATAATAGTTGTCAAAGAACCTTTAATAGAATACATGCAGATGCATGAGCATTTTTTATTATGTATTTACACAACCTCTAACATTAAGAAAATGAAAATAAATGACTTGCTGGTTTTAGTGTATTGGTTGATTGAAAGATTAGACATTTTCACAGTAAATGCAAAATGGAGTTTGCTTGTGCTGTGAACAAAAGATTTTGTTATAAAAGTGTTCCAAATACATAAAACCTACTTCAAGTTCAAGCCAGCAACAGACAGTTACACATACCAGGCTTTAAAACTCTATGATACAATATCCTGTATTCCTGTCTATTATACATGAATGATATTCTGAATACATGCAAGGAACTATTCACATTAAGGTTTGGTAGCGTGAAGACATGTCCATTTGCATATGTTTATTTCATAATTTGGTAATAAAACACTATAAACAAAAACAAAATATAGCTACGACTGCAGGAATTTGCAGATTCTCAAAAAATAAAGTGACATTAAAGACAACAAATTAAATTTTGGGACTAACCATGTCAGGCTTAAACATTGATTCACAAGCACCATAAAGAGACTCAGATGCAGTGCCAGCCACTACAAAATCTTTTGCAAGTTCCCTGTCATACCCAAAATGAAATCAAAAGAAGTTACTACTATCACAAACATAATAACTACAGGGGAAAAAGTTGCTTAAAATGCACTTTCCAAGATAAAAAATATGTTGAAAATTTTAGACTAAAGGATACAAAGAGTGTGGTGTGCATCAAAGAGAGTGAATCAAATAATTCTTTTATAGTTTCACTGTCAAAGGTATATGCATCAACGATAAGCAAACCATTTTGAGTGGGGAAGTGAAAAGTAATAAAACATTCGGTACATCAAGTATTTAGTTGTAGAAACCAACATCTGATTGTGAAAGTTGTGCCTCTTTGTTTGACTTAATAACAATGATTATTAACAGGAACATAAAAAGAGAAAAACCAAATAAGAAACTTCCTCTGATATCTGAATATAGAGTTGCAGAAATACCAAGAACTGACATAGTTCAGAAAATTTGTTCGGATTTGCAGATGTTGGTGGTAGTCACCAACCTCCAGCTAAAAGCATAGCAATACTTGAAATTTATCATAGAATTATGACCCAGAAGAAATGTAGACGTCATATGCATATCACTAGAACACTAACATTCCTCAACACCCGACAGAAAAATAAGGAAACAGATTAAACAATACTTCAACTTACTTACTTTGCTCCAATGGAATCCATTGTGCAAATGAATGGTTTGTCATCGTCTCCTAATCCAGCAATTACAGGCTGGCAAAAGTATGGACCAAACCTGAAAAAAGCAATAGAATGCATTTTGTTTTCACACTGATCAATTGAGGTGATAACTTCCACACACATAAAATAGAATTATACATATCATCTAAAATATGAATAACTATTACAAACCTAAAATCTCAGCATAAATAAAAGTACACTACCCTAACCCTAACCCTAACCCTAAGCATAATTGATGAAATTAGAGATGGAGAGACGTGCCTTTTCTCGTAGAGAATAGCGGAGACTAGGCTAGCAAAGGTTTCGGGCTTCATGTCCCTCTCTTCGCGCAGCTGGTACAATTTGTGGCGGAAAACGAGGCGCTGGTAGAGTGTCTGAGCGTCGGTGGCGAGGCCAGAGAGACCGATGAAGAGTTTATCGTGGATCTTTGAAATCCTCTGGAAATCGGTGGCGATAGTTTGGAGCTGAACCCCGAGTCTCCGATCGCTGGCGATGGCGAAGCAGTTCTTCCCCACCATAGCCACTAGGGCACTGCCGTTGTACTCGAAGATCGACATGGATGATGGAACTCTACCGATCAACGATTTTTCCGATTTCGCCAGAAATGAGAGGGAGCCTTTGGAAGTAAACCCTAACGCTATGGTACAGTTGGTATTTGTATTCGTATTAGTTTAGAGCCCCATTCGAAAAAATTAAAACATTTTTATCAAGTTTTTATAATATAAAAATTTATGTTAAATTATTTTTTCTCATTAATTTAATTTCATAATTTTATTATTAAAAAACAATTTAATTTTTTATTTTTAAAAATAATATAAATATTGAATATGTTTGTTTTAAAAAAATTTCTTGTAAAAGTATTTTTTTAATAAAATAAGCACTTGTTTTTATTTGTATGTTTGTCTAATTTTTTAAAATAATTAATTTTTAATTGTTTTAAGAAGTATTTCCTTCTTTAAAAAATTACTTTTATTAAAATCACTTATTTAAAAACACTTTTTTTTTAAATTAAACAAATGAACCCATTATTTTTTTTTTCGTTTAGTCTAAACTAATTCATAACATTCAATTTCTAGAATCACTTAATTCATGGTCGCTTTTTTTTTTTTTTTTACTATAAATTACATATATCCTTCCATTAATAATGGAAAATTAATTCATTTCAAAACGTAAAAATTTTTAAAATAAATTTCATTTCTTTCAATAAAAACTTGTTCACAGCTAAAGAAATGACTATTAATCAATTTAAGCACTCAATTATATTAAATGATAAACATCGCTTTTATTATTAATCACAATAAATAACATCCTAGCTAATACATAATTTATATAAGCTGTCGTGACAAAAATAGTGAATTTATTATAGGGATTTTTTTATAATTAAAAAAAATACAATTTTTTTATTCTTCGAAGTCATAATGACAATGATGACGGTTCTTCCAATAGTCCATATTCTATATCACTTTTTTTTTGACAGCACTCTATATCAATTTATTAAAGTTATCTATAATTAACAAATTACATTCTACATTTGACTTATCTGGGTGGAACTGGCCTTGTTAGTTGTTAATATTTAATGGCACTCTATCTTTCAACGTCAATAAAAACAATCTTGCATTATATATTCCCACAGAAGAAAAAGGGAATATCTAAATTCATTATAAACCGCAAAGGTCCAAACCAATGATGAATTCTTAATTATCATTGAGCTAAGATGGTAACATCATACAATACAACAAGCACCAGTGTTATGGTGCGAGGTTAAGCCGCCAGCTGAGATGCAAAAGTGGGGTAAAAAAAATGGACTTGATCCTGTACACAGAAATAATAAAAGGCCAAGTGTACAGTTGGTGCTATTTTACAAGGGGCTTGAATTAGAGGAGACAAGCTCTGATCAAATTTCGTAGTTTCCTTTGCATGGCATCGTAGGAATGCTTTGAAAGAAAGAACCAAGGAAAGGCAATGTACGAGTTCGAGTTGGCCTTTCTATTGCAATGGTGTATGATGGCTTGAGTTAATAAAGGTTGGTTCCAAGAAGCATGACTAACTGTGAGAGAAAAGGCACTCTAATCTTTATTACAGTACATTCTATTTGCTGAAGGGTAGTTGCTTAGCTCCTCGCTCCAAGGCATCTCTCCATAGTCTGTATCTTACTCCAAGCTTGTCATAGGATACAGGGAAGTTCCACACATTTGCACCTTTGTTCATCCGTTCTTGCTGGCCTAACACTAGTCGCAGATCCTCATTTAAAACCTTTAATAAGTCAACACCAAAACACAAAATACAAATGTTAAAAAAAGAATAGGGTAGTCATTCACACTGATTCAACATGTTAATCCAACAAAAGCTAAAGCTAAAGATCATTTTTGTTTCGCTGTAATAAAATAGTTCTCTACTTAACCATGCAAAATCATGATTCATATCAAGATTTCTTCTTAAAGCCTAGGCATAGTTTGAATTAGCATTCAGTTTAAGAGAGCTTTTCAATTGTAAAATCCTACTATTAAAGACTTTTCTAAAGTGTGCTGAGCTCTGTTATGTTTATAGACGCTTATACAAAAGTTGATGAAAGAACTTCTAAAAATATCGAGGTAAGTTGATTTTCACTTATGTCAAAAGTTTAATTCATTTTTACCTCTTAACTCACTTCCCCCCCCCCCCCCCCATCAAACATTTTTAAT